GTTCTTTTGTTTACGATCTCTTCAGGCTCTTCTACATATGTTAACTTGTTATCCAGCTTCACCTCGGATAACGGAACCGCTTCATCATATATGCTTAAACATTTACGCAAATAACTCACATGAAACACATTATGAATTCCTGCCAAATCTTCTGGTAATTCCAAGCGGTATGCTTACTTACCAATTCTCTGGATGATTTTGAAAGGACCAACAAATCTAGGACTTAGTTTTCCTTTCTTCCCAAATCGCATCATGCCTTTCCATTGGGATACCTTCAGCATTACGAAATCACCCACCTGGAATTCTATGGGTCGTCTCCTCTTTTCTGCATAGGACTTCTGTCGATCCTGGGCCGCTTTCATTCTTTCTCGTACAATTTGAATCTTGTTGGTGGTGTCTTGAATCATTGCAGGGCCTCCAAGGATTTTCTGTCCTATATCACGCCAACATAATGGAGTACGACATTTACGCCCACATAGTGCTTCATATGGTGGCATTTTGATAGAAGTGTGGTAACTGTTATTATACGAAAATTCGACAAGAGGTAAGTACTTATCCCAGTTACCACTGAATTCCAAGACACATGCACGAATCATATCTTCTACTGTTTGGATCATTCTCTCCGTCTGACCCTCTGTCTGGGGATGATAAGTTGTGCTGAGAGCAACTTGAGATCCCAATTCACGTTGCATACTCGCCCAAAAGTGAGAAGTGAAGCGAGTATCACGATCGGAAATGATCTTTAGTGGCACACCATGTCTTGCAATAATTTCATCTAAGTATACTTGTGTATATTTCTCCATTGGATCCGTTTCACGCATGGCAAGAAAATGTGCTCTTAGTCAGTCGGTCGACAATTACCCAAATGCTATCATTCTGTCTAGTAGTCTTTCGCAATTTGGTAATAAAATCCATGGATAGCTCTTCCCACTTCCACACGGGAAAACTAAGGCTTTCTGGAATTTCGTAAGGCTTTTGGTGTTCTGCTTTGACTTGTAAGCATACTAAACATTCCTGTACGTATCTCCCAATGTCTTTCTTTAGTCCAGGCCACCAATAATCAGCTTTTACATCCTAGTACATTTTACTTGTACCAGGATGTATTGATAGCTTAGACTTATGGGCTTCATCTAAAATCTTCTTTCTTAAGTCACCAATCTTTGGAATCCATAGCCGATTCTTGAATACCTTCAATCCTCGTGGATCATCAAGTAAAACATCAATATAATGTACCATCCCTTCTTTCTTCACATTTTCTTGCTTTAGAGCTTGTACTTGCCATTTCTTTAGTTCATCTAGAATAATAAACTTTATTGTAGTGTGAGTAATAGCATAACACACACTATTATGATAAACCTTTCTGCTAAGTGCATCGGCAACTACATTGGCCTTTCAAGGATGATACAGGATTTTACAGTCATAATCTTTGATCAACTCCATGGCTCGTTGTTGTCTCATATTCAAAGTTTGCTGAATGAATATGTACTTGAGACTTTTGTGGTCGGTAAACAATTGGTATTTTGTACCAAAAAGATAATGTCTCCAAAGTTTTAGGGCAAATACCACTGCAGCGAGTTCGAGGTCGTGAGTGGGATAATTCTTTTCATAATCTTTCAGTTGTCTTGAGGCATAGGCTATCACTTTACCATGTTGCATCAACACACACCCGAGTCCCAATCTTGAAGCATCGCTATATACGGAGAAATCATTATCACCTTCTGGAAGTGATAAGATCGGAGCATGAGTCAAAAGATCTTTCAGAGTTGAGAAAGCTTTTCTTGGGCTTCACCCCATTCGAACTTTACTTCCTTTCGTGTAAGAATCGTGAGAGGTACGGCTATACGAGAAAAGTCTTTAATGAACCTTCGGTAATATCCCGCGAGACCCAAGAAACTATGAATTTCGGAAGCATTACGAGGCGCTTCACAATTCTGAATGGCTTCGATTTTGGTAGGATCTACGGATATACCGTCACCAGAAATCACATGACCGAGAAATTGAACTTGGCGAAGCCAAAATTCACATTTCGATAATATAGCATATAGTTTCTCCTTTCGAAGAAGTTCTAATATTTCACGAATATGAATGGCGTGATCAGATTCAGACTTGGAATAGATTAGAATATCATCAATGAATACGATGAGAGATTTATCGAGCATTGGACGACACACGCGATTCATCATATCCATGAATACAGCAGGAGCATTTGTCAAACCGAACGGCATGACAAGGAATTCATAATGCCCATATCGAGTACGAAAAGCAGTCTTTTGTACATCCTGCTCGTGTGCTTTCAACTGGTGATAGCCAGATCTCAAATCAATATTCAAGAAGTAGCTAACACCTTGAAGTTGATCAAACAAATCGTCAATGCGAGGTAGTGGATACTTGTTCTTGATAGTTACCTTATTTAGCTCACGGTAATCAATACACATTCGCATCGAACCGTCTTTCTTCTTGACAAATAACACTGGAGCACCCCAAGGAGAGGTACACGGTCTAATGAAACCTTTGTCAAGTAGTTCCTTAAGTTGGATCATCATTTCTTTCATCTCAGCTGGCGCAAGACGATAAGGAGTCTTTGCAATCGGAGCAGCACCAGGCACAAGGTCAATTCGGAATTCTACTTGCCTGTCCGGAGGAAGTCCATGCAATTCTTCGGGAAAAACATCAGGATATTCATTAACAACGGGAACATCATTTACTGTTTTCTACTCCTCTTTTGAGATATCAACGGTGTAGGCCAGATAGATAGAACACCTCTTTGATATAAATTTACGAGCTTTTAGGTAAGAGATTATTTTTACGATTTTAAGTCTTTGTTCAACGTAGACATAAATAGGATTCTGCCCTTCAATGGGAATACATACTATGTTTTCATAGCACAAGAGATCTGCGTGGCTCTTTGACAACCAATCCATGCTGAGAATAATATCAAAGTTGGGCAAGGAGATAGGAATCAAGTTAGCAAGAAAATTATAGCCTTCAATTTCTATCACACAATTCCTATAGACTTTATCAGCAAGTAATGATATACTTCTCACAGTATCTATATGAAATGGTTGTGCAAGTGCATAGCAAGCAATTTGAAAGGAATGCGCAAATTCATGAGACACAAAAGAATCTGAGGCACCAGAATCAAATAAGATATGAGCAGGTCTAAAGTTGACTAGAAATGTACCAGTCACAACATTCGGGTCTTCATGTGCCTCTTCTGTGGTAATCTGAAATGCACGGCCTTTAGCTTTTGGCACCTCCTCCTTTTTAGTTGGAGTACCCTTTGATTGTTGAACAGGAGCTTGACTTCTCGCCTGTTGTTGAACAGAAGCCTGATTTCCCGTCATTTGACTAGTAAGAGTAGGGCAAAAACGCTTCCTCTGGCCAGCAACACCACAAGAAAAACATGTAACATTCTTCATCGGACAAACAGACTTCATGTGGCCTACTTCTCCACATCCATAACAGACCATTGATCCTTTTTCTAATCTGCATTCGCCCGGATGATTCTTTCCACAATTTCGACACGATGGCGATTGAAGAGAAAAAGATTGTGACCTACCGCGACCACGAGGGGCATTTTGAGTTTGCACTTGTTTACTTGGTTCAGTTCGAATAGATTGAGCTGGTGGAATAGAGGAAACAGTAATGGTTCGATCAATATGTGGATGCTTTGGAACAGAAAGAGTGACACCGCGTATTTCTAAGCCATGCTCACGCTTTCGAGCATACTCAATAGCTTTATCAAATGACATAACAATCCGATTAGCCACGAAATCGCGGATTTCATATCGTAGTCCATCCGGGAATAACTGAATTTTATCGTCTTCAGTTGGAATATACTTTGTAGCAAACCGTGCTTTTTGATTGAATTGGGTTTCATAATCAATCACAGTCATTCCTCCATGTTTAAGCTCGAGGAATTCTTTCTCCAATCTTCTCCTCATGTCTAGAGGACAATACTTTCCTAGCAAGCGAGTTCTGAACAATTCCCAAGATAAGTTCTCTTGGTCATACTCATTGAAAGCTTCGTATGTTGCTTCCCACCAGACTAAGGCTTCTCCGATGAGCATTGCAGAAGCATAATTAGCCTTGTCTTCATTAACCACATGAGAGATACGGAATACTTTTTCTGTGTTCTGGATCCATGTAAGAACAACAATGGGATTAAGAACACCTGAAAACTCTGTAGCACCATTACTCTTGAAAGTTTTGAATGAAGGACGTCTCGTCTCTCCTTTTGAAGATTCTCCGGTGACTTTCTCTTTTCCTTTATCACCATTCTTTTTGTGCTCTTCGAGAGTCTGCCGAATAATACCAGTAAGTTTACCCAATAGTCGCTCCTCACGAGGAGATACTGGAGTATTTACTTCATCAGGACGAGGATCTCCACCCACTTCTGGTGTATGGCTACCCACTTGTTCAGCCATTATTCTGCAATTTGAAGTAATATAATATTTTAGAATATTAGGGTTTATCATTACCTAATACTTTACTTAAGTCTTTCCTATGGTTTGTATCCATATACTTACAATGAATCTGTTCATATATTGAACTTCTGACGATTTAAGTCTAAATACCAATCCATGGTATTTAGTTCACTTAAACTACTGCTCTGATACCATGATTGAAAGACCCACACTTTCAAATGAGAGAACCCCTCTCTAAAATTAAACTACATCATATTACTCCAAAACATGCTACTTGCATATTCATAAATAATATTTTACATTGATAATTTGGTTACATAAGACTGGATACAAACCGACTAAGTTTTTATATATTACATAACTTCCCATGATACTATAATTTATACATACATGAGTACTAAATACAAAAGTAATAGTTTTAAACTATTCAAAATCTTCTATCAGTATATGACTATACTGGATCCTTATCATCAGTAAGCGAAGGACAAACTCAAGGACGGGTGCGAGCTCAATTTTGATATTTTTCTCAATCTTCGAAATCAATTGCGAAATTGACTCCTAATACACAGTTGACTAAGTCGAAAGATCAACTTTCGAAATGGACTCCTGAATGCTTGATAAAAATTCCTCCAACTTGGTAAACACTTTCGAATCCTGCTCCGAATTTGCTTCAAGCTTGGTTAAATAAGCAGTATTGAATTCAACCAACTTCGCAATGGCATCAGCAACAACATCAATTTTATTATGCAACACAGTATAATTCTTCTCCATTTTCTCAACTTCTTTTACCATTTCGGATTTAAGTGCTACCACCTGAAGATCCACGTATTCTTTCACCTTCTTCACTTGTTCGATAAAAAGATCATGACACTCCTTGGCCACATCAAGAAATTTTTTAAATTCATACTCAAAACTTTTATAATAAACATTCAACCATTCAACCTGTTTCTCTTCAAAACTTTCAACAAAAGTACGAAGACGATTTTCCTGTAACTTTAACAAGAACTCCATTTCTACTCTAGAAACAAAATTGAAAGACCCACACTTTCAAATGAGAGAACCCCTCTCTAAAAATGAACTACATCATATTACTCCAAAACATGCTACTTGCATATTTATAAATAATATTTTACATTGATAATTTGGTTACATAAGACTGGATACAAACCGACTAAGTTTTTATATATTACATAACTTCCCAGGATACTATAATTTATACATACATGAGTACTAAATACAAAAGTAATAGTTTTAAACTATTCAAAATATTCTATCAGTATATGACTATATTGGATCCTTATTACCTGCAATAGTTAAACACTGAGAGGGATAAGCGGTGACGCTTAGTGAATTCAATAATAGATACAATATAACGTTATGCCATATATATACTTTAATATGGCAGAAGCAAAGAGGAACAAGGAACAACAAAGGCATATGTGAATCATGTGACAAGCTTTCCATATCAATCAATGATTTGATTCAAAGATATACAATCAATGAGATACAATAATTTCAACTTGATATACATCAATAAGACTTCAGTCCAAGTGGCACAGAAGACATACAATTTCTAATTAAACATTTTGGTAGATTTCAGGCTTTCAACCCTATCTAACCTTCTACCAATGCCATAGGGGTAGAATTCATTCTCTTGCGAGACATGCTCTACACTCCCAGAGGCTACATACCAATACCACTGTGAATCTAAGTCCTTTCACTGATCACATGGCCAAAGGTACAGGTTTGCTAACAAAATAGCACAAAATAATAACACGGGAAAATAATATGGAAAAAGCACATAGCATATATAGCACATAACATACAATTGTTCCTATATATTGAACTCACCGTGAATTAACTGGAGGTTAAAATAGTAATTTAGGCAGCACTTCGTTACTATATTAAACTTTCCTCGATGAAAACCGAGAGCTTTCTTAAAAACCGGGCCTTGCGAGGGTTGAGCTTCAAACCGAAAAGATAAATTTCCCGGGGTCATCGAGCACTTCGGAACGTATTTCGGGTGTTGGGTATGATCTCGAGGCTTCGGGGATAGTTGGAATGGATGGGCTTAAGAGTGAAAATGTGAGAATTTTCTAACATTAGCCAGGATGTATCGCACCTCCTTTATATAGGTGCGAGCCTCGGATCTGAAGGAAGGAGAAGGGAGCACGTGGCAGCTTCGCAGGCGAGGGGGAGGGCACGCGTCGGATGCGAGGCGAGACAGGTGGCGAGTCCGAGACCGAGACACGGGTGCGACACGCGGCGCTTCACGATTGGTCCAGCGCTTCGGATGACTCACCTGCTTCGGACACAGGGCAGGCTCGTGTGCGAGGGTGACGTGGCCGAACCCTGACCATGCGAAATTTCTCGGTTCTCGTAATTTCTTGGATTTTGTGTCCCGAACTTCAAAAATCCATAACTTTCGCATACGAGCTTCGTTTTCGACGTTCTTTATATGCACGCGTAGGAGAAATTATGCTCTACAACTTTCGTTTAGACTTCGTCGGCTAATTTTGATTTTATTTTTAATATTATTATTTTTAACAGACCGGGACAGGAAAATCTGTTAAAAAATCATAACTTCTTCATCTGATGTCCATTTTCGTCTGTCTTTTTACCGTTGTACTACTATTGACGAGACCTTCGATTCTCATTTAGGTTGCGTCGGCTAAAAATCACTCGATCTTTATTTCGAGTTTTTAGCTGTCTGCTGTTATTCCGAAATTTAGAAAAATCATAACTTCCTCATACGAAGTCAGATTTGGATGTTCTTTTTATGAAAATTCTCGGTTTAACAAATACTACGACTTTCGTTTAGATCACTAAACCCAAAAAGTAGTTTATCGAAAAATCACTTTTTACGCTAAATAGTGTTTGTCAGTTTTGTCGCGGATCTTCGATTGGTCATAACTTCTTCGTTATAACTCGGATTTCGATGCGTTTTTTCGCCTAAATGTTTCTAACTAAATTATGTACAACTTTCAATATTTGACATTAGATTGGAATCTCATAAGACTTCCAATATTTTCCGAGTGATTCTAAACATAGTTTTACTTCAATTCAAGTAAAAACTATCAGTTAGAACTCAATACTCAAATTTCATTTAATATTTCATAATATTATTCATTACAGAACACGATAACTAAACGTGTATGTTACAAAAGTTCATACCCCCAATATCTGCTTGAATTTGTAGAATATTATTGATTTTGGAGTTAAGAATTTTGAACTATTTACCAGACATGATCATGTTTTCAGGAAGATTTCCTCTTCTGGGTCAAACTGTATATCAGCGAAAGACACCATCACATCATCATCATTTAGTTCAGCTTCAAGAATGAATCTTTCAGCATCAATAGATTGAGATGAGAAAAGAGTAGTAATAGGTTCCTGCATAATTGTGGAGTAGGTTAGTGAAATGGTTGAAGTAGGTAGTCTAGTTCGGAATGGTGAGGAAAATGGTGGTAACGAAGTGGATGTTTCAATGGTTGAGGTTTCGATGGTAGAAATGATGGAAGTAGGAATGATTGATGTTGCAAGAACTGGAGTAAAATAAGCTTATTTATTCGGCACCCCTTCACGCATATTGACATTTATATCTGTATTAAATATGTTCGCAGTGATTCCTGGAGTTCGAACCTCCTCCGAATGGGCGTCGGTTTGCCCAACCCCGGAAGTTATGACCGTAGTCTTTTCAGGAATGGAAATCGATGTGTGATCACTCGAATTGGTGTTTGTATCTGTATTAGATATGTTTACATTGACACCAGGATTTCCTATCTCCTCGAAATTCGACTTGATAGGAAAATCCCTTCGAGGTGACTCAAACCCAGAATCATCAATGTGAATATCCGACTGTTCGCAGTCACTGTTATTATCTGTTTCAACAGTAACTTTGTCAAGTGGATCTTCAAGTTGTCTTTTCTTCTTTTTAATCTTTTGAACCATTTCTATGGCTAGACGTGTCTTTGAGGCAGGTGAAACAAGAGCAGTTACATCATGAAACAAAACTCCTCGCCTGTTGAACTGAGGCTTTCTTATCTTCTTGATACCTTTCTGAGAAGAATGAGTATGCAAAGAATCAACCTATCTTTGCTTGGTTTTATCAATTTCAGTTTCTTGAACTGATGGTCTGACTAGAGAATGACGAGGCCTTTTGTTTGGCTTCTTAGTTTTCTTCGAAATACCAATCTTCGAAGGAATCACTTCTGTAGAAACTTCCCCCACCACAAGTTCTTGAACAGGTTATGGTTTCATAGTCTGCTTCTTCTTCTTTGTTACTTTAATCACTTTCGAAGAACCCTCATCCCCTTTTGGTAAAAGAACACCAACAGAAACAGTAGCATCAATTGTTTCCAAGTACTAAATAAGGACTGGATTTTTCGGATCAATGCGCCTTAGCATCACATCTTGAATATGAGCTACATTTGGAAAAGCTGCAGGACCATCAACAACCAATCATTGATAAGCCATTGTCAAAAACTTCGCTTTTCATCCTCTGAAGGAACCAAAATCCCTTCCTGTTGACAAACCTCCTTGAGAATTAGACTCCAGTAGCGTGCACAAGAAACACCATTCTCAAATTGGTGTGAGTGATTGCATTACCAAATTCTTCCCAAAGTTTTGTGACATAGTCAACATTCAAATCATAGTATATACCAGCAATCATCGTATAAACCTCCAATTTTACTTTATCTAACCCAGAACTACGACTAGTCAAGCCTCTCAATACAATACCAAACAGAAAACTCCATACACAGGGTAGACTCGATTTGCAAAATAGACTTATTCCACTCAAAACTAGTTGGTGCCCCATCTCATTGAACATATGTGGAACTTGTTCACTAGTGACTTCATAAAAATTACCTGAGACCGGTAGCTTCAGGATTTGGGCAAACTGCTTCTTTGTGAGTTTTCGTATCTTTTTGTTCGTCAATTGGAATGTAACAAACTTGGTTGTTTTATTGAAGACGATAGTAGAACTAGCAAGTGCCAACTATGTCATCAGAACTGAAAACAATGAAGATAGCACGGTGGATAAAATAGAAGGATTTAGGGCTAAAATCAACATCTGTAACTGTTCTAGGTATTGATCAACAGTTGGCACTAAATGAAGATTCGTATTTTGAATCTTCATCAAGGGTTGTGAAGTTTCTTCTTCATTGGTTGTAGTTGTGGGATGAAAATTGGTGTTAGGAGCTGCCATTGAAGAACTTGCAAGAATTGTGGAAGACATTGAACGGTTGAGATTTTTTAGGAAAAATATTCCGAGAGCATAAAGTCTTCAAATAACATCACTAATTTCCTTTTATACTCGACTGATTATTTGAATTTGAACTAGTAACCAATAATAAAGTGCCACGTATTGCATTGGTTATTTTACCGGTCACCGTAAAAACTGCCACGTCATAAAAGTGATCATTATGTTTTCCTCAAATCTTGTGAATATCCTGAACTGTCACGTCCGCTGGATCTTTCGTTGTTCCCAACCGGATAAGATCGTCACATATTTCGAACTGTGAGCAAGAACATCTTTTTGTTTTGACACCATGAGAACAACATTCCTTCGCATTGAGGTAATGCTCATTCGCTTTTGAGCTTGAAAAGCGAAATCATATGCCACACTTTGCGAAATCTTGGTTTCGAGTTGGTATTACTCTAAACCTCAAGGATTCCAGTGCAATTGTGTGCCAAAGAATGAGTGAAAATAAAATAAAAAAATGTGCGATTAGTGATATCAAAAATCATATTATAGGAAAGGAGTTGGATCCCGGGTAAAGATCTCTTCATTCGACATCAAGATAGATGACAAATTGTTTGTGTGGTTTCCTGTGAATTACAATCGAATACTCATTGATGATCATCGAAGGGCTTCTTTTGCATCATTTTCAAAAGGTAGGCTCAACTTTGCTCAACACCACAACTTAACATAAGTGTGAATTGATTGAACAAAATTACTTGGATGACCAGTATAGTCAAGAACAAGTATGGTTGGATATGCTATGAAA